GAAGATGGCTGTTTTTTTTTTTTTAATTGTTTATTTTTTATTTATTCAATCATTTATTTTAATTTGACCAGAGAGAGACAGAGGAAGAGAGAGAGAAAGTGAGAAAGCAAGCCACCAGGTCTGAGACTTGAACCATGGTCAACCATGTGGGAGTGTCCAGCGCCTTAACCACCATGCCACCTGCTGGTCCTGAAGATGGCTGTTTTCTATCACATCACCTCAAAAGTTTCTTAATGTATTTCTAAACAGGTATGCTTCTTTTTTATTTTATTTTTTTTACAAATAAAGAAGCATTTTGGTCAACCAATCCACTAATTATCCATAAAATTATCTATGCCTTCCATGAGAGACAGTGAAGCATATTCAAGTCAAAAGTAATTTTGACTTTGGATATGTAAACGTTTAGCACACTCAAAAAAAACTAAATTAAAAAAAGAAAAAGATGGGACCAACAAATGGCATAACAGGTCACTGGACTCCCACATAGTCACCTGCGGTTCAAGTCCAGGACCCGGCAGCTTAAACTCATGCCAGGCGCATGTGCGTGGGTGCCCAAGATCCCGAGAGGAGAATGGAGGAGTAGGGATTGTGGCATGGCCATCCCCACAGGGGGCGATTTCTCGCTTTCTGTCTATCTTTTCGGCACATGCATATGCCGTATAGCAAAAATCTCTCTTAAAAAAAAAAAAAGAAAGAAAGAAAGAAAGAAAGAAAAAGAAAGAATAAGATGGGCCAGCAGGTGGCATGGAGGTTAAGGTGCTAGATCCCACATGGCCGACTCCAAGGTTTGAGTCCAGGACCCATTGGCTTGAAAATCATACCAGTGCATGTGCATGTGTGCCCCAAATCCTGAGAGAATGGAGAAAGGACTGGTGTGGTCATTTCCCTGGGGGTTGATTTCTTACTTTCTCTCTTTCACTCTGGCGAGTGCACATACCCTATGGCAAAATTTTATATATATATATAAAATATACACACACACACACACACACACACACACA